AAGGAATCCCCATGGGATGCCACATTGTTGAGTCTCAAGGAGTCACGTGGTGGAGAGATGTGAGCACATTTATCCCAGAGAAAATTTGTCGACATGAGGACTCGGCATCTCATTAATCCCTTCTTGAAAATAACTGCATATTTTACAACTCACTGATTTTCCCAACCATTTACTTTTATTAGGCTCTTCTTCTGAGATGGAAACACGACTCACTTCTGGACAGAAGCGATCTGTCCCTTCTTCTGCTGGTTTTTGTCCCCCCGGCCCCCCAAGGGCACTGGCTTCTTTTCATCTCATGTCTTCTCTGCTCCCCAAGTGGAGGGCCACTCACATCTGCTTACACGGCCTCTCCCTGTGATTTTTCTCTTTCTCTTCCACCCAGTCCTCTCCCTCTCCCCTCCCACATCCACAAACACTCACATCCCTCTCCCCTGCACTTAGGCCGTCTGACTCCACACTCTCCGGCTAGCACTCCCCCGTTGCAGCTGGAGGGAGCCGGCTCATAGTTTGGGAGAGTAGGTCACCGTGGCTTGTCTATACAGCTGGGCTTCTGGCAGGGCCCCGGAACCACTAATCCCACCCTCATGGTGGAGCCCTTAGTTTAGTCTCATGTCCATTTTCCAGGCTTGCTCACCATCGTAGTAACATGACACATTCACAATCAAGCCCAAACACAAGTCACCTAACCCTGTAACCCAGCACCCACTTCCAAATGTCTTCCTGCAGGTTTTGTAACCCCGGTGGGGGCCCTGGACTCATGGAAAAGACCCTCATAGGTGGTGGGAGTGGCTGCCTTGTAACCATGGTAACCAGTGATGATGAGGTCTGGGGACTCAAGCTCGGCTGAGTGCATGGGGCTATTCTTGGGATGATGGGCAGTGCCTGCCACTTCGGGGCAGAGGAGCCTGGCATGCTGGCCTCTTCCTGGCCACACCTGGTGACGGCACTAAACACAACTAATATGGAATTTGACGGGTGAACCAGGACCCGGAGATTGGGTCCAAACCCGAAGAATGTCCAAGGCATGCCAGAAGGGAGTTGGGGATTAGGTAATAGGGAGGGGAAGGGGCTAGTCCAGGACTGGACTCTCTGTCCATCTGTGGTCACCAACAGTCATGGTTGGCCGAGGTCGATGTGGAAGCCAGGCCAGAGCTGTCAAAATAACGTCTCTGCTTGAACACAGACCATGTAGACATGGGGTGTCAGAGCAGAAACTGACTTCCAAGCTAGTCTAGGATTCACAGGGTCAACCAGTGCCCAAGGTCACAGAGAATTGGGTCCCGTCTCCAAGCTCCCCTTCTATTCAGCGGCCTTTTTCCTACTTTTAAAAAATGTTTATTTCTTTGGCCCCACCCAGTTTTACTTGTGGCACTCTGGTTCTTTTTTTTTTTTAATTGCAAGATATTTAGCTGTGGCACATGGGATCTAGTTCCCCAGTCAGGGACTGAACCCAGGCCCCCTGCACTGGGAGAGCAGTCTCATCCACTGGATAACCAGGGAAGTCCCCCTATTTTTTTTTTATTGACACAGTGCAGACAGGTGAGCTTGATGCAAGGGCCATGCTGGCTGCTCCTCTACACGCTTCACAGCTGTCCCCCATCAGTCTCGGCTGGGGCTGTGATACGGTTTTGTGGCTGCTGGAAACTTCACATTCCAGGGACCCTTCGAAGAGAAGAACAACTCATTTGCAGCACCTGAGCACAGTGAGCAGGCAATCAGCCAAACACTATTGTGTCTGAGCAGATGCGTGCGGGAGGATCTGCTTTCCGTCTGTCAGCTCAGAAGCTGCCCTGCTCTTTCCCGAGTGCATCTGCATGGCCCTCTAGGTTAATCCAGGGGTGGGAACCTGGTCATCTAGGAAATGCTGAGTCTTTCCTGAGGGTTTTTGAGCAGGAATTCCCCAATTTGGACGCTGAACCACAGGAGCCAAGGGCATTCTGGGTACCAAGATTCCTGCCCTTTGGAGGAACGGGCTGGGCTCACAGTGGCCCAGTGAGAGAAGCAAGGATGAGGTCCTGAAACTGGGGAAGCCGGGCGGCATCTATATCTGGGGATCAACGCCCTCTGGGGTTCAGAACCACCACTCTACTTTCAGAGGTTGGCTGTTCGACTCTTGCTCGGATTCCATTGATCGATCATTGATGTTTTGCTTATGCTCATTCAAGGCAAGTTTTCTGGTTCTTGCCACCAAAGGAGTTCTATTTAACTAGGAGACTTCAATTCTAGACTCTAAGTACTCATTAAAGAGCAGTCTCTTCATAGCATGGAGGTAAACCCAATAGAAGTCAACTTCCTTGTTTTAGGTGTAAAAGTGGCAGATCCCAGACTTGGGGCAAAGAAAGTAGAAGATGAACTTGGGACATATTATTATGTCAGAAGACAAGAAAAATGGTGAAAAAAATGAGACAGGTCCTTGGGACAAGGACACAGAGCACAGATGCCACCGGAAGGCGGTCTCAGCAGAAACGTCTGGGTCAGTTTTCACTCTAACACCATTGAGGATGGTGATGGATTTTTTGCAAAAATCCCTGTGTCCATATCAACAATAATTGCTGTTGTTTAGTTTCTAAGCCATGTCTGACTCTTTGCAACCCCATGGACTGTAGCATGCCAGGCTCCTTTGTCCATGGAATTCTCCAGGCGAGAATACTACAGGGCTATGTCCTTCTCCAGGGGGATCTTCCTGACCAGGAATCAAACCTACCTCTCCTTCTTGGCAGGTAGATTCTTTACCCCTGAGCCACCAGGGAAACACCCAACAATAAATAGATACACCAAATAAGTAGAGGGGAAGATGAACTCCTACCTGCTGTGGCATGATCGTTCAGCCGATAAAGTAGAGGGAGAGCTGGATTGAAAGGTCTTCACTTGGTGTCTGTCACTGTACAAAGTGGTTCAGGCAAGAGTCACCAGTGATGCTCAGGAAGTCATCAGTGATGCTCAGATCTCAGGGGCGGGGATGGATTTGGATGAGGAGCAGGATGCTGGCATGTCTTAACCTGCCTCCTCACAGCTCCCTTGTTCAAAATCAGGGAAAAGCTAGTAACTATGGAGTGAGAAATTGGACCACACAATCACTGGCTGAGCAAACCCTGCCTCAGCATCGAGGGCAGACCACACCCTGTGCTCTGGGTGCGATGCATGACATTCAGCCTCCCTCTCAAGGGGACTGGTCCAGCTCTATGTGAGCAATCATTGGCAAACAGCCCATGCAAGCAAGACGGGTAGGATTCTGAACTGTCTCAGGTGAAAGGGGATTGGAAGATGGGATGACCAGATGCAGAAAATGGTCCTAGAACTGACTCCTTCACTGGAGGGGGGAAATGCCATAAAGGACATTACGGTAAGACCCCTGCAAACAAACGTCAAGTTGCGAGCTTTTGAAGATGCGAGTGTGGCCCTGGGCGCCAGCCGCTGGACTGCGCGGCTGTACTTCTCAAGGTGCTGTGCGTAAGATTAAAGTGTTTTCTTTATTCTTTGTGTTTGTTTTTATGTATTATCTATGTGAAAAATATTATAAACCTGTTACAGTACAATACTATACGGCCTTTTGTTATTTTGTACCTAGGCTAAATTTATCGGACTTACAAACAAATAGGATTTACAGACAAACGTGCTATCAGAATGGAACTCACTAGTATGTAGGGGACTGGATTACTTGTCAAAATTGAAATGTAGAGAGTGGGCTCGATGAAGCAATTGCATCAGCGTTAACTTCCCTGACTTTGATAGCTGTGCTGCCGCTGCTGCTGCCGCTGCTAAGTCGCTTCCGTCGCGTCCGACTCTGTGCGACCCCATAGACGGCAGCCCACCAGGCTCCCCCGTCCCTGGGATTCTCCAGCAAGAACGTTGGAGCGGGTTGCCATTGCCTTCTCCATGATAACTGTACTACAGTTATGCAAAAGCACACCCATTATTAGGGGTAAGAAGCTAGTCTCAGATGATTCAGGATATATTATATTAATATGTACACATATATTTAGACAGAGAGAGAACAAATGCAAAAGCAGATGGGGAATAATGGAAATAAAATTTGATTCTGAGGAAAGGGCACACCAGTCTCCTGATTCAATTTTTAAAACGTCTTCTCTAATTTCAAAATGATTTCCCAACAACAACAGCAAAGTGGTGCAATCTATCCCCCAGGAAGAAAATCCAGACCGGCAGGGCCAGTGAGTCCCCGGGACACGCCGGGGCTTCCTCAGTCTCCAGATTTGCTGTTTGAGTTTGGCAAGGTGGCGACAGGCTGGGCCTGAGGGCGTCACTTTTCTGCCTCCTGCTCGGTGACTTTCATCTTTTCCAGGGAGTTTGTTTCGATTAACCTCCAGGTAGCAGAGGGTGAAAACAGCCCAGCCGTGTGCCAAGAATAAGGCTTGGCTCTGCTGCAGCCTCAGAAAAACTGTAAATAAACCAAAACACAGGGGACATTATTCGATCTGGAAAAGGGTTACTTAAGTATTCCAGGATGTTGGAAACAAAAGATACTTTAAATACCACAAGGCCTTCAAGAATGACTTAGAGGATGTAATTCTGCCCAGTATTAGCTGAAATCATTTGGAAGGAAACCACAGCTAAGAACTTAAGCCCTGAATGTAAGAGAAAGAATTAAGGTATCCAGTGTCTTAGACCCCAAGATTTCAGGGATCTTCAGTTTTAAGTGGATGAAAATGGGATCAGCAAACATCCGAGAAGCCCTGAGCTCCTCCCTGTTACCGAGTCCAAGCTCGCTCTGCTCGCCACAGGAGAGGCCAGTGAATCTGAGAGACGAGGTGTTGAGCCAAGGAATTCAACTTCGTTCTGAAAGCCGGCTGACCAAGAAGATGGCAGACTAACCTCTCAAAATGACCATCTGGGATCCGGATGCCAGGCTCTTTCATGGATCAGAGATGGCAGAGGTGAGGAGACAAAGTGAAAAGGCCATTCAATCCTGCAAGTACCTCCTGGAATGGCAAGCCTCGGGCAGGGGGATGTCTTCATTTCCTGCTTCCTGCCATCCACAGGAGGACAGGCTTCTGGACAAGTTCACAACAGTCAGGGAGGGGCAGGGTGCTCTGAGGCAAACCATTCTGTGTGACTATAATAACAAAAGCGGACGGAGGCACAGATCTAGCAGGGAAGAGTCAGAACTGGCTCTTCCCTGTTACATCATTGACCACATCAGCCACTCCTGCGTGCATCCTTCTTCCCCCACGGCAGCACGGGGAGCTGAGGGGAGCTGTGGCATTGCTCTGTGGCCAGGCGAAAGGCACAACATCAGCCGTTCCCCCAGGGGGGCCCCTCGGCCAGCGGCATTGGCATCAGCCGGGAATCCGAGAAACGCCAACGTCAGGCCCCACGCAGACCTGCCAAGTCCGAGCTCTGGGTGTGTTAACAAGCCCTTGGGTGGTTCTGTGTTCGCTGCAGAGTGGCAGCCGCTGGGCTCCGGCTCCTTTCCAAGCTTTCATTTCCAGCGGAATGTCAGTTGCTCAGGCAGCCAGGTTTTAATTCAGTTCTATCTCTCCCTGTAAACTTGGGGAGATGAAGTCAAATTCCTGTGCCTTTTGGTAGATTTAGGGAGCTTCTCATTTTCTGTCTTCTTTTTCTTGTTATTTGTTTATTCAAAATCACATCAAACTGAACTTTATCTAATTTGAAGGGGTTTGCTCAACCTTGGAACTTGGATGTGGAAGTCAGAAAAGGCTTCGTAAGGCCTGAGGAGCAAAGATACCCAAGTCGACGTCAGAAATTAGAAGCTGTGAGAGAACAAGCTAGCGTTTACCAGTGGGGAGTAGGGGGAAGGGGCTATATGGGTGGGGGACTGAGATGTACAAACCACGATGTATAGAGGGAGGGGACAGATGTATACCTCTGCGGATTCATGTTGCTGTGTGGCAGAAACTGACACAATACTGTAAGGCAAATATCTTGCAATAATACATGTTAAAAAGAAGAAATAAAGATATGTTGTACAGCAGAGGGAAATATAGGCCTTATTTTCTAATAACTTCATTTTTGAAATTTGAATTTTTTATTAGAACATAGTTGATTAACAATGCTATGTTCGTTTCAGGTGTATAGCACAGAGGCTCACTTATATGTATACGTGTATCTGACATTACTTTGCCAACAAAGGTCTGTATAGTCAAAATTATAGTCAAAAACCATGGTTTTCCCAGTAGTCATGTATGGATGTGAGAGCTGGACCATTAAGAAATCTGAGTGCTGAAGAATTGATGTGTTTGAACTGTGGTGTTGGAGAAGACTCTTGAGAGTCCCTTGGACTGCAAGGAGATCCAACCAGTCCATCCTAAAGGAGATCAGTCCTGGGTGTTCATTTGAAGGACTGATGATGAAGTTGAAGGTCCAATACTTTGGCCACCTGATGTGAAGAGTTGACTCATTGGAAAAGACCCTGATGCTGGGAGGGATTGGGGGCAGGAGGAGAAGAGGACAACAGAGGATGAGATGGCTGGATGGCATCACCGACTCAATGGACATGAGCTTGAGCAAGCTTTGGGAGATGGTGAAGGACAGGGAAGCCTGGTGTGCTGCAGTCCATGGGGTCTCAAGGAGTCAGGCACAACTGAGCAACTGAACAACAACAATTCTTTTTAAAACTCTTTTCCCATTTAGGTTATTACAGGGCATTGAGCAGAGTTCCCTATGCTATACATTAGGCTCTGTTGGTTATCCATTTTAAATATAGCAGTTTTTTTCTTGTCAATTCCAGACTCGTAATGCATCTCTTCCCAAAATCCTTCCCCCTCTGGTAACCACAAATTCATTCTCCATGTCTGTGAGTCTCTTTCTGCTTGTAAATAAGTTAATTTGTGTAATTTTTAAGATATTGTGAATAGAAGCAATATCTCATATATTTCTTTTTGTCTGCCTTACATCTATTAGTATGATAATCTTTAGGTCCATCCATGTCACTGCAAATGGCATTATTTCATTCTTTTTAGTGGCTGAGTAATATTCCATCATACATAAGTACCACATCTTCATCAATAACTTTAAATGGAGTGTAGTCTATAAAAATATTGAATTACTATATTGCACACCTAAAACTAACATACTATTGCAAATTGACTATACTTCAATAATAAAATATTAACAGAAAGCAAGTAGCAGCTGTGGAAATCTTCGCTCCATTGGCAGGAGGTGAGGAATCAGTTGTTTCTTATAACATGTGTTCCTATCCCTCATTTTCACCATTGAGTTTCTTCCATCCTAAATGTAAGTGGTGTCTCTTTGCATGGCCTCTAAGCTGGGTCATGTAAGATTCTCCACAAGGAGGGACAAGTCCAGTGCTGTCCAGAGAGGAGAGCAGGTGGGTGGGGAAAGAGAATCCTGCTCTCCTAGAAAAAGCATGGCCAGCTGTTTGATAATCTGCAAAAGATGTGATGAAGAGGTGGAAGAACATGTGAAATTTTTTTCTCCAACTAGAGTTGATCTCCAGCTATAATCCATGTTTCAGCGCTAAACTGATTACTGATGGAAATTTAGTAAAAGAGGAAGCAGAAGGGAAATGAGTTACTGGGCTGAGAAAAGAGGACTCTAGGATCTAAAGAGTTATGAAACAAGTGGGGTCGGAAGGCCATTGTGTGTATGTGTGAGTGTGCATAAATGTGTGTATGTGTATGTGCATGGTGTATGTATATGCTTGTGTGTGTTCCGTGTGTACAAGCATGTATGTGTGAGTACCTGTGTGTATATGTATGTATTTCTGTGTGTGCATGAATGTGTATGTTTGTTTATATGCTTGCGTGTGTTCCGTGTGTACAAGCATGTATGTGCATGTGTGTATGTGCGTGTGGCTGTGAGAGCATCCATTTGCCATGTGTGAGTGTGTGTGTGCACTCTCCTTGTGGCCTTCAGTCAGCAAGAGTCCTGGTGGTTACTCAGGAGTGGCTAGAAGGAGAAGGAGAGAGACGGGGAGGGGAGGAAGAAAGAGATGGTGGGACCTGGGTCTCGGGCGAGGTAGGGATGGCTGGGGAGGCTCAGCCGCTGAAGCAATTGAAGTGCAGGCTGGAATGCTGCCCAGGCAGGTGGCAAATGTTTTACTTTATTTACTTTATTTCATTCTGCTTTTGTAAAGAACTAACACCTTAGTCTGACAGATATGGTCATGGAAGAAAGCATTTATGATTGTCAGGAGGGCACTGGAGGCTTGCAGGCAGCTGCGATCCTGCATTCTAAACCCAGTGTCCTGCCAGCAGCGCACCTGGGATTACGCCTTCACTGCCCTGAGCCAATTCGTTTATCAATCTCTGAGGATTTCAATGAGATTATGGCTTCCTGGTGGCTGAAATCGTAAAGAATCTGCCTGCAGTGCAGGAGAGCTGGGTTGGGAAGCTCCCCTGGAGGAGGGAAAGACTACCCACTCCAGTATTCTGGCCTGGAGAATTCCATGCACTGTATAGTCCATGGGGTGGCAAAGAGTCGGACACGACTGAGCGACTTTCACTTTCACTTGTATATAACATATATGCATTATACATATACTAATATTACAATACATATGCCTAGACAGTGTATTAAAAAGCAGAGACATCACTTTGCTGACAAAGATTTGTATAGTCAAAGCTATCATTTTTCCAATAGTCAACAACAGATGTGAGAGTTGGACCATAGAGAGGGCTGAATGCCAAAGATTTGATGCTTTTGAATTATGATCCTGAGGAAGACTCTTGAGAGGTCTCTGGACAGCAAGGAAATCAAACCAGTCAATACTAAAGGAAGTCAATCCTGAATATTCATTGGAAGGACTGATGCTAAAGCTGCAGCTCAAATACTTTGGCCACCTATATGAAGAACTGACTCATTGGAAAAGACCCTGATGCTGGGAAAGACTGAAGGCAGGAGGAGAAGAGGGTGACAGAGGATGAGATGGTTGGATGGCATCACCGACTCGAGGGACATGAGTTTGAGTAAACTCTGGGAATTGGTGATGGACAGGGAGGCCTGGTGTGCCGCAGTCCATGGGGTCGCAAAGGGTCAGACACGACTGAGCAACTGAACTGAACTGATGTATTATGCTACTGAGTTGCGTTCTTGAAAATAATTACTATGGTGAATGTTATGTGAATTTCATCAAAATAAAAACTAAATAACATAAAATAAACCTCAAGAAGTAGCCTTCAGGTGAACCAGGCTCCTCACCATTTGGGAGAGGACGGCCCTATCTTTGGGGGCATGTTGGAAATTTCCTCACAGATACCTGCCTCTTTTTCCGGGGACCCTCCACTCTTGCCTGAACAAAAATTTTCCTTTTAAGCTGACTTTGATCTACAGAATATTCTCTGATTTCTGGAAACTAATTCCTGCCTCCTTTTTTTTTTTTTTCAAATCATTCCCTTAGTATGGACCATTCTTTTCCAGCCCCTGGTGGCTCAGATGGCAAAGCATCTGCCAGCAATGCAGGAGACCCAGGTTCTATTCCTGGGTCGGGAAGACCCCTGGAGAAGGAAATGGCAATCCACTCCAGTACTCTTGCCTGAAAAATTTCCATGGATGGAGGAGCGTGGTAGGCTGCAGTCCATGGGGTCGCAAAGAGTCAGACACAACTGAGCGACTTCAGTTTCCAGCCCCAGAGCCTATGCCCAGGAGTCTTCTGCATGGTGTTTCAGAAGAGAATGTCGATACTGGGGTCCGTTTCCTGGAAGCCTAGTTCAGCAGGCCAGAGGAGGCCTGACCTGAAGCCCATCACAGGCTTCTCACAGGCTCCCTGCAGCTGCCTGGGTCTCCTTCAAGTCTCTTTTTTGAGCTCATGTAGAGAAACTGCAACCTCAGCTTTGCTATATTTAAATGGGATAACCATCAAGGCCAATGCAGGAGATGCAAGAGAGACATAGGTTGGATCCCTGGGTCAGGAAGATCAGATCCCTTGAAGTAGCAAATGGCAACACATTCCAGTATTCTTGCCTGGAGAATCCCGTGGACAGAGGAGCCTGGTGGGCTACAGTCCACGGGGTCGCAAAGAGCAGGACACGACAGATCACATAGCAGAGGGAGAAGAGAAACTGTAGACACAGCCTTGCTGTACTTAAAGTGGATCACCAGCAAGGACCAGCTACCATACAGTGCAGGGGACTCTGCGCAACGTCAGGCGGCGGCCTGGGTGGGAGGGGAGTTTGGGGGAGGATGGATACGTGTGTATGTATGGCTGAGACCCTTGGCTGTCCACTTGAAACTATTACAACATTGCTGATCGGCTATACTCCAATACGAAACAAAAAGTTGAAAAAATAAAATAAAATGGCACATTCCTGAAAAAAAAAAAAACAAAAAAAAAACAACTGCTGCTTTTGTAGCAAAATTGTGTGCCTGGAGATGAGCCACTAAACCCTGGCATGTGGGTGCTGGGCTTTTCCAGATAAAGGGGAAGCCTCTTGTCCCCCACCCTCTGGTATGTGGCTCTGTGTCTGCAGCCCGCTTGGGGGGCATCTCCCCCTCCAGGCCGGAGGTGCAGGTCACTCCCGTCCAGAAGTCTCCGCTTTCCCGTCCCCTGGGCTGCGACACTGTCTGA